TTTGCATGGAAAGAGTTTGCATTTCAGATCGCAAATGCCAAAAGAAATAGTGACCAATTCGTTGATTGCGCAACGCCCGTTCGAGCAGAAACGTTACTAAATCGCAGTCTAGATAAGACTCATGTTTCATGGCTTGCACCAGTTGTAAGAGATATAGCAATAGTTCCTCATCTCTATTGAATAAATAAAAGACACTTCATGTTTAAACCAGAATTGCTTTGAGATTTTACCCACCTCAAAAAACGGAGGCAGCGTATGGCGAAACTTCGAACCGCTGGATCCGGATACGCATAGTCAAGTAATTCCAGTGATCTTTCTACGGATATTGTAGGCCATTGTTGTAATAAATTCCACGTCTCTGCTACTTCGTCACGTTCGTTCCAATTAACACAGTGCAACAAAGTAGATAACTCCTCAGGAGCTTCGGCCAAGATTTCATATCTAAAAAAATTATATATTATTTTATTTTTGAGTTTAAATTAAAATTTCAATTTTACCTTCTCGACCATAACGCATTGCGATCTTGATCATGCATTTCATATACTTTATCAATGCGAAGATACTGTGACAGCATAGCACTGATCGGTTTGGAGTTTTCATGTAATTTATCGCTACTAAGTACTTCCCCATTATGTAACTCTTCTGCATACTTGAGTACCGCTAACATCGATGGAAACTGTATATTTTCATAACTGGAACTGTAATTTTAAATTTAAAACACATACTCGTACAATAAAGACGAAATAGGAACTTTATTTTTCTTACCACTGAAATGTTAATTTCACTATAGCGCATCCATCTTTACGAGGATTTGGTTCAATCGTACCTAGGGGATGGAAAATTTCTTCCGACTGAATATCATCTGCGTAAGTCCATGTGTAAAGGGATAGACAGCCAGTTAGCATTTGATGTTTGTAGTCAAATATGGTCGTATTAACCCAAGCCAAGGGGTTGTTATTTACATATGTATTGGCTTCTTTGTAAATATTATCGCGATTTGTGTTTGAAGATTTTTTGGATCTCGATGCTTTCGTTACTTCGTAGATAACCATGCATAACCGTGCCATTCGAGGCAAATTTTGTACTTGTATATCGAACGAAATGTCTTTCTCGAATGTAAATGAACGATTGTTACTAATTGCGATTTCTATGGACTGTGTTGCACAAAGACGACGCTCTCCATGGAAAAGACCAATGTGTACACCCACTTTGATAGCACGAGAGAGATCACAATTTACATTCTCGATTTGGTATATATGTAATTTAAAAGGATTTAAGATGTCCCACGATGAAATGGCCTTTCGGTCTTGGCATGGATCGTTCAGCAAAGATGGAGTATTATATTCCGGCCTTCGTGTTCGCTTGTGAGAAAAGTTCAAATCATTCCTGTAGTTTATATACGATTGGAGTGTGTGTATAGGTTTTAAAACAACATTGGGAACATCGGAACCAGAAAGACTTTCCTGTATAATATATTAGAATGCAAAAACATAAACATATATTTCACATTTGCTATACATAGATAGTATTTACCTGTATATATATGAACTGAATAATCGGGTATTCACCAAAAATAAATTCGTCACGACCACGTACTTTTAGTATATAGTCTGATGGTCGATCTCCTACTCTTATTTGAGATCGCTGCATCTTCATTAGTGCAGATTCAATCACTGTACTTGAAGTATCGTGTTCACTAACAGGAATTGTATAGGAGCCTTCGTCATTCTCTAATTTAACAACTATAAGAAAACTTGTACCACCCAATCGTTTACGTATTAGTTCAGGCATAGCGGGGGTATTTGCAACACGCATGGGATGTTCATAGAGCAGCTTCTCTGACCAAGTGAAGCGAGACCGCACCTGTTCCATTTTATCACAGAGATGCGTCAGTTTGCGCCGAAAGTCATCTACTTCCGGTGTCCGTTGCGCGCTATATTCTTCAAATGATTTCCCAATCATGTTACTAACCAGTTTGGATAGCTCATAATCACTTGATATAGTTGAGGGTTCTGTGCGTTCTCCCAAACGAAGTAAACAAAAAAATGGTTGTATTTCCGATAGACGTTTGGTTTCGTCAGTAAAACAGTCTACATTAGCAAAATTTGAAATACCACTGACTTCATAGTCACAAGGATCCTTTATTAAATGACATAGTGGGAAGTTTTTTGCCTCCCTAATAACTTCCTAAAACATTAAATAAGAAAATTAAAAATTATAATTATCACTACAAAATGATTTTTTAATATTTTTTACAAAATATGTAGAATTATAAATTTTCACGAATAATTATATAATAGGAAAGTAATACTAAGTTTTAGTCTAACAGAACATTCTGTACTCTCATAAGGACCAAAGCCGGGGAAATATTTTCAGATGTTGGCAAAATATTACGTTAAAATTGGTTGGGAAAGAATTCAACATTCATTATTCGACTAAAGGATGAATGGATTACAATAATTTTTGTTTATTTTTTAAATCGTATCATTTCATCTACAACTTTAGCCTTCTTAATATCATTAGTATATTTCGCTTCATATCTGATATATTGGTATTTAAATCAACCTATTTAACTCAAATGAGATACCTATATGTGATTTAARCTCAACCAAAAATCGACCAGTTTTGCATTAACGTGTGTGTGTCGAGAGCATGCTCCCAAGAAATTTTATGAAGATAACATAAAGACTGTCCGACATATGTGGCATAAATTGTGCTCGAACAATGAAAATTGTTATATACAGAATATGGCAGATAGATTAATTCGTTGTGTTATTATGTTACATATTGAGCGTTGTATGCGTTTTAAAACCTATCGGAAGTTTGAAATACCTATTATAATATATAAATATATAGTAAACGTTTTATCACAAAAAAATTCTTCCTAAATTTCAATAATATATCTCACAGATTAGCCAATATTTTTGGTAAAAATCAGCCATAGGCACTGTCAATTAAATCTATTAGGAGGCGAAGTGCCTCTTATAACTTGGTGTAGGATCAGATAACAGTTTTTCACCAAGGAACCGCGAGGGCGTTTTTTTTGAAATATTTTATATCATTTAGAACACTTTTGTAATATAAAAACTGTTGACAAATTAAAAAAAAAACCCCCGCCGTTACCAGGTAAATTATGTACAGAAATAGTGTTCAAAGTTTCAAAAGAATTGGTGATTAATAGAGTAATGAGAGCAATAAAATTTTACATTATCAAATTGATTATTTTTTATTATTTCTTTAAAACGGTCCTGATGACTTAAAATAGGCGAACCGATCTTTATTCCTTTTCCCGACACCGAATCAACTGGGATCACATATCTAAAGTCTTACCGAAATCATAGTGTCATCATTAATATCTGATTTCCCACACATCATTTTCAGGAATTTTCTGACTTGACAGAGTCTTGGCCGGAGAAGTTTACATTTTATACTTTCCTCTTTAAAATTAAAAATATGTTTTTATTATTTTCATACTTTTAAACTTACCGTTTTGATTTCCCGGATAGTACAATTAATGGGTACTACTGTTAGAATAAGAATACCATTTGGCATAAGGCAGCTGACTTCGGCGCGTTCTGGCATCTCATTTCTCCAGAAATCGATGGAGTCAGTTGGGCATGATAGAGGAGCCATACTTATGCCCTATATCCAGTATCTCAAATAAATATTTGCCACGATAAAATTTGATAAATTCCTTATGAATCTGATAATGTAAGTAGTAAATATAACACTATTGACAAATCATATGTGCTGTTTGTTGCAATTAATCTCAGGAATCTTTATAATTGTTGAATTCCCTTTCAACAAGTATCGTAAATATTCTTTTTCAATGAGAACGAAAAATGCTTTAAATATATTTTTGATGTAAAAGTAATTCTATTGTTTACTTACAAGAAACTTTTTCTTGCATTTCATTTGTATTAAAAAAGATATTACTTGAGAAATATTCGAATAAATCGATTGCTAAATTTGCAGCTACGGTAGCGCCTTTTGGACCAGCTTAACATAAATTTGTTGGTCTTCCAAGAATTATTATAATCACGCAGCTTGGAAAGTGTTTATTAATCACGCTCACAATTCACATAAAACAAAAGCGTTTTCATTTATAGTATTTCTGATTTTGAATTTTTTAGGATGTGAAAGAAATATTTTTCTTTTAATATAATGATCAAAGAAATATCCATGTAGTGACGTTCTTTAATTATATTTACTCAATTTTCTGTTTTTTCGATTTTCTATGTTTTCGTTTGTGATTTATTTGACATTATCTGAACGAAATTGCAACGAACATGATGTGCTGAACACAACGCTCGCGACAGACAGCAAACGACAGCTGTCAAATATTAAAATACACACGTTCTTATGGACGGACCTATTTTGACAGCTGCACGACTACACGACTGCAGGCCGACAGTTGYCGTTCTCGCTAACTTCAATTTGATCCTATATTTGCCAACGACAGTGAGACGACAGTAGAGTTGACAGTAGAATGGTAGATAGAGAGATGAGGAAGAGTGGTGATGCCACTAATATGTAAAATGTAAAATTATTCACAGCTCTAACAAACTTGACGTTATTTTACAAATAAAAGCATAAAATAGCTCTGTTACATCATTTGTAATAAAAATTGATAATTTGAAACAAATAAATTTACCTATTTACTTATTTTTTGCTTAAAAATTTCACTTTGAACAAAATATTAAAATTTCATTGAAGTGCAAGGTATTAGTATGGCCACAAYGAAATTGTGTACATTCAAAATGGACAACTGCGTTGTTTTGTGGGCATGCCGGCCATTGTTATGTTGCTGCTCTCTACGTGCTACGTGCATGAGGTAGTATTCACAACGCCGTTTTCAGTTCGTGTCGTGCTGCTGCAGTCTGTCGCTAGCATTGTGTTCCACACATCACTTTTAAAATTTCTCCTTTCGAGCCAAAAGTGGTGAAATCCACTAATAGACTTTTATTATCTTTTGACATTTCACACGCCTGTCCGCAATTGAACCTTCTCTATATTATACGTTCTCTGAACCTTCTCTATAATATACGTTATCTGCCAGAAGTTGCTTTGGTTTACAGAGTTTCTTTAAAACGGTAAAAAAAAAAAAAAAAAATTATAATGGAGAAAAAAATAACTTCATTAAAGTGATTAGAGTGATAGTTTGCGTTAGATATTTTAAATAAAGTTCGGAATTTAATATATTTATAATTGTGAGACTTGATCAATTAAAATGAGCGAATCTGATTCCGATGTAGGTAAGTTACATATTCGCTAGTGGAGTAGATTTTAATGGATGATTGTAAACAAAATTAGTTTGCGTTTGCAATGTGTACAGTCTAATTACAAATATATTATTTGGAAAATGCACAAAGTGTGTTAAATATAGTGGCTATTCCACCTTCATGGGGTAGATTTTAGAATAACATCCTCCGATTTCGGGGTTAAAATTAGTATGTACCGATAGAGGTTCTCCAGATTAAGAAAATATCCGTTCACACGACAGTCAGGTATACATAAGTAACCGGAAAGGCTCCGCATTTGTTAACAGCCAAGGACTTAACGCAGCATCATTTGTCGATATCATACATCATATCATAATAAAATACACATATGGACAAAGTAATAGGTGTAAACGTTTCGACGATTTAACCCTGTTTGGATGGGTAAGCAACAACAATTGTAAATATTTACTTAAAAACATTAATAATATTTACAATTAAAAAAATTTTGTGGTAGGTATCCTCGATGTCGAGGTTAAAAGAGTTATGGTTGGACAGAGAAGATTCTGCAGATTGCAAATATACATAATTGTAGGCGCCGTTTAATGTTGAAAACTACGACAATTTTAAGTATGTATTTTTGGGAGGATGGAGTTATGTGTATAGAAGTTCACACAAGTGAGAAAAGTTCTCTAAGCGCCATTCACTTGGGAGTGGCCATAAACTATTCTTTTACATATGGCTCGAGCAGCTCACGACTTTCGGTCTTAGACTAAGTACCCTCTGGGTAGCAATCCCCAAGGTTTTGCTCTGGGGTTGGGACTCGCCACGTAAAAAACGCCAACAATGAAAAGGAAACAACAATCTCGGATAAGATAACTCCTTTTTGATGACGACCATGGCAAACGCATTAAGGATTACGATTTAAGGGTATGCACCTTGTATGTTCGGTCCCTTCATTGGGAAGGTGTCGTAGCACGGCTGGCTGATGTTCTCGTAAAAATGAAGGCTGACATCACCGCCGACCAAGAACTGCGATGATCAGGAAAAGGACTGAGACGAATAGGTCTTTGTGGCATATACTACAGCGGCCATATAAAGGAGCATAAATTCGGTGTGGGATTCGTGGTGGGCCTCTTGCACTCAGTACCCGCCGGGGGAAGCAGATTGGCGCCAAATTGCAAAAAGAAGAAACGACTGGCGCGATTTTCAATTTAAAATGTATTCCGCATTTATTTTGTTCACTTTTATATACATACATAGTTCAACATTTCATTAATTCGTTTGTACACCTACATATATTTCACATAACGTAGTGGAAAAATAGCTTTAATTCAATATTTAACTCATTATTAAATTATATTTATTGACGTAATAACAAAACGACTGCAAACTCCCTTCCCTTCCCTTAAGAAATCCGATCCACCAGGATTATTTTTTTCAATTGCGCAAAAATGAGTTCTACACGAAAAAACTGAGAAGACCCCGGCGTTAGTCTGAACAGGGTTACTTTTTTGAATATTGAATAAAATCTATTGTTTTATTTTTCACTATATGTATTATGTGAAAGAACATATTCGTGAATGGTTAATGTTTATAAAATTGAATTGAAAAAAAAAACGTTCTTTTAATAGCCGAAACTTTTAACTTTAGATGCAAAAATATAACCTGGAGAATCGCCTGTATCCAACCAAACCCATTTTAATCCTGAAACCGTGGTATTGTTTATAAAAGTTTCCCCAACTTTGTTTTGATTTAAAAAAAAAAAAATAGCATTCGTCAAAATATTATAATAGGTGCGAAATGTTTTTTGTTTTAAATAAAAACTAAAATAAAACAAAAATTCCGATTATGGGATCGACTAGGCCATTGCGCACAGGTCACATTGTTGTCATTGTATATTTCGTTTCTTTATCTTATTGATAACACCATCTCATCGGCATGTTTTCTTATGCAAACGGTAGCATGACGTTTTTCAAAATATTTCTGTACTTAAATTACATTGTGTTCTTTATCTAAAATAAAAGATCAACGACTTGCTAGGAGAATCATTCCCACACCATTATGTTTCCGCAACATATTTAATTGTGTTTCTACAATCAAATTCTTTACCTTTAGACCAGCGGGCAGTTCTTTTACAATAATTTCCGTAAATACTATTCTTAACTTCATCACGGAATAAAATATTTCGCGATCTTTTTTCAGCTGGGACCGTACCAATTTTTATGTTTTTATTTATATTTTTTTGCTTTAGAGCATTAAGTAAAATTTTCTGAACGCCATAACATATTTGCAATGAAATTGTACGCTTTTCCTTCATGACGAATTTTTTTTTCCAATCAACCCTCTACATCGGGGAAGTTTATGACCCTTCCTAAATTTCATGATGAAATTCATCTTTTCAGTTTATGGAGTTCAAAGAAATATAAAATTACACTGCTTATATTGATATGAAAAATACTTCGAAATAATAATTTTTTTATACTCTTGCAACCAGTAGCTACAGAGCTAGGGTTATATATACATATATATAAATGATCAGCAAGTTGAAATACGGTTGACTGTCTGTCGGTCCGTGCAAGCTGTAACTTGAGTAAAAATTGGGGTATCTCGACGAAACTTTGTAGGTGGGTGCTTGGGTACAAAAAAATTAGAGTTCGTAGATGGGCGTACAAGGGATTGTAATAGCAAGGGACACATGTAGGCAAATTTTTTTTAAGTCGGCGAGTCCCCGCCCTCTAACAAGCTTAATGTACATACATATATCCTAAACCACTTAAGCTAATTTGTCCAGTTTCCAGTACATAAATCAAGAATCATAGTCAAAACTGATATATTACCATATCAAAACCCAAATATTAGAACTTTCAATCCCGTCCGAGTCTTCCATTTCGAAATGAATGAAGCTATGCAGAAATAGTGACTTATGCCATCTCAAGTCTAAAAAGCTTTTGAGCTTATTGAGCTTATTTCTCATAGGCACCTAATATAGGATTTTCAAATTTACGGTCACTACGATATACTATAGATTAACTCTGAAAAAAATGTGATTTTATATTCAGTCTTATTATGAGCGAACGCCATTACCCATGGAAAATTCACAAATTTCTGTTTTTCTTATCGTGAACTTCACAGAGGAAAAATCTTCCGTATTCGAAAACGTTTCGTAATCGTAAATGAATTTTTTTTCTCGCGAATCCATGATTTTTTTTCACAAGATTGATTTTAAAAATGAAAAGAAAGTTCATGTACTTTGAACGAAGTGAAATGATTCTTCCACCATCGAAATTTAGAATGAAAATAGGTAGCCATTCAGTTTTGGAGTTTTGTTTTAATCCAAAAATTTCATTCGAAAATTGACACCTACATAATTTATGCACTTAATACCGATTCGATAAAAGAAATTACGATATAGTATATGTATGTACATATGTAGCTGAAAATAAAAATACGGGTTTAAGCTAAAACAGTCGCATAATATGCTCTATAAGTTTACATAATGTTTTCAATGCCACTAAATTGTGGGAATATATATTTATTTGACACAATTCCGATTTCTTTGGCGCCGCGATCTGAAGGTACCGTTGGAAAGAGGAAGTCCTCCAGATTAAAAAAAATTTCAAGAATCTATTTCATCACATTAAACACTCTTTATTCGCATTTTTCACTTCAAATTAATTAAATTACACTATAAAAAAAAAATAAATAAACACTATAAAAAAAACTTAAATTAACCGCGATCTGAAGGTACCGTTGGAAAGAGGAAGTCCTCCAGATTAAAAAAAAATTTCAAGAAGCTATTTCATCACATTAAACACACTTTTCGCATTTTTCACTTCAAATTAATTAAATTACACTATAAAAAAAATAAATAAACACTTAAATAAATCCACATTTTACACTTTTAGCAGGTTTTTTACCAAAAAAATCTTTATTTTAAAAATAACATTTTAAACTCGTTTGAACCTCATTTGTTTACCAAAAATTACGACGAAATGGAGCACTGCCATGTGATGATAAGGTGATTCGCTGAAATTCCTCTTTTTCGCAAAAATTCCTTTATTCATGCATAAGGATATTTTCTTTTTTAAATTTATTAAGCAAATAAGTGATATTAAATACATGTTTTAGTAATATTATATAATAAGATTACGTAATAAAGTGTAAAGTATACAAGTGCAGTACGAATATTAAAATTTTGTTTCAATATGAGTGCATAAAAAAAATATAACTACTTTATATCCAAAACTCAAATTTTAAATATAAAAATATATGTATCGTCACCTAAAATACAAAACAATGCATGATCAAAAATAAATGGAAATCCCTGACAGATATAATAACTAAATTTTATTCATTTTATAACGAAAACTCAAATTTTGTTTTAATATGAGTGTATGATAACCAACAAATATAACCACTTTATATCCAAAACTCGAATTTTAAGTATAACAAGTAAGGAAGGGCTAAGTTCGGGTGTCACCGAACATTTTATACTCTCGCATGACAAGTTTCATCAAGATATCTAAATTTTTACTCAAGTTACAGCTTGCACGGGCGGATAGACAGACATCCGGATTTTAACTCTACTCGTCACCCTGATCACTTTGGTATAT